CTCGGTGCTTCTGTGTCAAGGAATGTTTGAGACATTGATTCTTTCAGTTCCTTACAGCTTAGCTTTAAGATGTTTTCATTTGTTTACATTTTTAGTAGTTTCCTATTCCCAGCTGATCATCGTATACCTTTTTTTTCCTTTAAAAGGTATGGGAAAGTCATTTGCTGAACTGTATATGGTACTTGTGCTGTCCTTCCCGTTTCTGTGCTGTGTGATGGGATGGCCATTGTGCTGAGGGGATACTGGCATTGGCTGAGCTTCCATTTCCCATACTGCCTATGAGGCCAGGGCCTGATTTGGGTCCCTGAATTGTGGCATTCCATTGTGCACAGAGCAGGCCTGTCTCCTGGCCCAGCACCAGGCACAGGCCTCTCTGGTCAGGTCTGTGTGTTCTTCCATCCTAAACGCATCAAGGTGGCAGGTACTGCTCCCAGATAGAAACCCAACCCGAGCTTCGTTCTTCCCTACCACCCAGCACATCTCCAGAGAACCCAAGGGCAGTTTTTCCAGCCTCTCACTCCATCTGTCTTCTGTCTTGAAATCTGTGAAAGAAATACTGTACAATGAGGTTGGTGAAGAGCAAATGGTGATAGTTTAAAATAGGATTCCCCTTTGAAAAGCTCCTCTGAGTGGTATTTCCAGCACTCACTGATGGTGTATCAGGGCTTAATGGCTGGCTGAGTTGTTTCTGATGAAGTTTGATGCATTATACTATCAGTGCTTCTGGTGTAAAATGTCACGGTAACAGGCAACCTTCTCCCCCTTCATGAGTCTTTGGCTTGACAATTCTGATGACACGGGAAACTGCTTCAGTGTAGAGGCAGGCACATGAACTGGTGGGGGGATTTCCAGCAGCAAGCCACCTGGCCCTTCTCCTCAGCATCAAAACCATGGGACATGATATGCTTTTTCTCATCAGTGTCTCTCTTGGTGTTAAAGGATGGTTGGGAGTCAGGGCAGACATGCCGTCTCGGAGCTGTGTACAGTTCCTTGGAGTCACTGACAGAAAGAATTGGAGATAGAAACTCTATTCAAGTGGGTAGACTTTGGGTTTTTTTTAAAAAAAAAAAATCATGTGTTTTGCACAACCTGCCGTCTAACCCACCTTTCTGTCGGTCCTGATGCATAGCATCTGTCCTCGGTGGGAAGTTGAGAGGGTAAAATGCACTGCTGTGCATCCCAGAGAGCAGCAGGGCAGGTACGTCCTGCATGGCAACGAGTGCTTCCACACAGCATCCACATGTCCGGTGAACGGCGTGCCTCCAGCTCCGTTCTCCATGAAGTTAATCCCTCTTCTTTCCCTTAGCATTCCCACTAGGATTTTGTATGCATCTCTTTATAATGCAGAATATGCGCTGCTCTGGTTATTTTTTTTTTTTACTTCTGATTATTCAGTACTGCACATAAACAGATGTGCACATAGAAAAGTGCCCCCTGTTAATCAGGAACTGTTAAGCCATATGGCATGTGAAGATGAAGTATTACAGCTATGGGATGAGAACCTCCTGTTCAGCAGCCAGGTTCACATGCAGCGAGTACCGTGTTAATATATTCTTGCCAATGCTGTCAGTTCCTTCATCTGGCGAGTCAGCCTAAGCGACAGTGTGGATTTCTGGAGCCTTCCTTCTTCACTGAGGTCCTGCTTCTGTTAAGTCACTGCCGAGAGCCTGTCTTCCCATTTGAAAAGCTCGTAAAGGTACAGGTGAAAAAGCAGAGGATGCTCTGAGCTGTCTGTACTGCACTGATCCGAGATACTGTAGATGCAGCGAAGGTGCAGTTGGCCCCATCGCATGTCCAGTGGTATTTCTTAGCTTTGGGCCCAATTTAGTGGCCTGTAGTGACCCATCTCTTGGTGAAACACAAGAGCAGGAAATAACATGCAGTCAAGCCCTTGATTAATTCATTCAGTTTCCACTAAATTGGGGATTGCAACTAAGAGTGTTAGTGACCCTGGCTGGTTGCAAAACAAGCAAAAGAACTACTAGGAAGTATCGCTGTTTTGGTTATTCTAAAAAATTGATTGGTATTGCCAAGGTGAGTCTTTTTGCCATCTTGTAGCTAGCGGCCTTTTACTTGGCTCTATACCCCAGTAACATGGTGAGTCCAAAAGGCTTCGTTTATCGGGTAGTGTTGTGACCAACATCCTCTGATGATGTGACCGCCCAAGAACAGGCTGACAGAGGGTGTCAGCGACAGAACAACCATCATAACCAGTAAATGAGAGGTTTCTTCGCATTGTTTGCCATTGTGAGTAATTGTTCTAGTTTGCCTCAACGTAGTCCACAGCGTATCAGCGCTGAAAACAAATTCGGAAGGGCACTTTTGTTTGTGTGATATTTTAACAGACTCACGGTACCTAGAGATTTTTTTTGCAACCTGAAGTCTGGGAACCACTCTAACAGACGTGTTGTTTGTAAGCAGTTACTCAAAAAACACTTTAATGTGATACTTGGTTATTGTAACCATCATCAAAGGATTGAAGTTGCCCGGTATCTGAAATCTTATTTAAAATGAAGACAGTGTTAGCTCTGTAGGATTAGTTTCTTAGCAAGCTTAACATATGGTTGTAAGAGCATGGAAATGGGTGTGCTTGCAGCAGATTTAGAAGTCACTATGCAGAATATTGCCTTTAGCAGGTGCCATATTGTGCCAAAATAGCTGTTCCTTTCTCCTAAGAAGTGCAGGCAGCCCGTCTTGTAGGCCTGTAAGGAGAAAAGGGATTTCTGCAGCCCTGAAGAGTTGATCTCTGTCCTCGCAGGGTTGTTCTCTGCACCTGGGCTCCTACTGCCCGATGCCAAGGTATCAAGCATCTTACAGTGATTTCCTGTAATGGATGCTTGTAATTCATGCTTTTTGCTTTTATTTCTTCCAAACCACAGATCTGTACGGGTGTTTTTTTCCTAAGGCGCATTTATATTTTTGTTTCCATGGCTATGATGGTTTTGGCCTTAAACTGTGTTTTAAACTTCTTTGCGATTCAGAGGACTTTCATATTAGTTCATGGGCATCTCTGTGATGCAATTTATCAGCTGAAAAACGAAATCATGGACAACATTTCTGATGGGTCATAGTTCCTCTTTGATCCTTTGATTTGGGACTTCAACCATGAGATAACCTCTATTCTTTCGCTGGTAGAAAAAGTCAGTGGCAGAAAACCAAACCATCATAAAGGGAGCTGATCAGGAAGTGTTTAAAGCATGATGTTGGGGCCAAGGAAGTAGCGATGCATGACAAGGCTAGCTGTAGCAAAAAGGCTATATTACTGCTTTTTTTCTGGTGTGATGTGATGCCTAGCAGAAATTTAGTAGCAGTGTGTAGCTAGATGTTGATCAAGACATGGGGGAAATCCAAATTTTTTTAAAAAGGGGGAGCACAGAGCTGATGTAGACAAGATAGAAATGGACAAATTTAGGTGAGGGGACAGATTTTTTTAGCTTTGATGATTTATGTTTCCATTCTAAGTATCTTACCATATATTTAAAATTTCAGAATGGGTTACTGCATGCCACTGCAAGGGAAGACAGCTCTCCTCCTCATTTTAAAACAAGCTTCACGGTTAGTTAAAAGCGACTGCTCGCCGCTCTTCAGAACTTCTTAGCGGTATTAGTACAAAGTCATGGTGAATATTGCAGCGCTCATCTTCTGTCTATTGTTAATTAAAAAGTAAAAAAGACCCGGCATTAAAGTCCTTGAACAATGAACAGTCATTATTTGCAGCGGGCATTAAGCTCATGAGCTGCTGCTGTGCCTGCAGACTTCATTTTATTTAGCTCTGTGCTGAGTGGATTGTGCCAGAACACTCAGTGTGCATTTGAAGGGCATCCTTTTCTCTATTGGCAAACTGGAACTGATAAGTTACGTTGTTTAAAGCAAGACCATGCCTTGCTGCCATCCCTCAGGTCATGGCGTTGAGACTTGGTGCCCTTCCTAGCAAGTGCAGAGCCTTGGCTTGGTGGGCAGAGGGTTTCAGTGCTCCTGTGGCCCCTGCTCTGCAGGCACCTCCGCTGCACCAGGACACTGCGTTCAAACCCGCTTCATCTGTCATGTGTGTTGGTTTTTTATATTCTAGCCAGCACACAAAAACTGGAGATCAAGCAAGGAGCACTTTGCTGCGAACCCCCCACTTGAATCTGGAGCATGGGCCACTTGGTGTGTTTGTGTTCAACATATTTAATAACAGGCTGTAAGTGCACGAGGTGAGGTTCAGACTCAGAATGACATTACGGGAATGTAGCATCTGTCTGACATCCCGGCTTGGGCAAGTATCAAATGAGAAAAGTATGTCAGAATTCCTCTTGCTCAGCATCTCTGTGCTTTATAAACTACCAGAAATGTGTGCTTTTCCGTAGGTGCAGAGGTTATATAATAGTCCCATGGGTTTTCTGTGGAGGGCTACAGGTGTAAGCGTGTTCCCTCTAAACCAGTTTAACAAATGAGTGACTTGGATGATGAATTTTTAATTCTCTAGGCTATATATAATAAATGACAATTAAAAAAAAAAAAAAAAAAAAACAAAAAAAAAAACAAAGGGCAGTGATTGATTATGCGCTTAGTTATGTGCCAGCTGCAATATTGTGCAGTTACCAGGGAGAGGCCAGAGTGAGTATTTGGGACGGAGCTGCCTGCAGGTGCACAGCTTTTGTAACAGTCCCTGCAGTAGCTCTGCCTCTTCTGTCACAGCCAGATCTCTGCTGTGCCGCTGGCTGGCACCCGGCCTCGGCCCCGGCGACCCGTCAGGCACAGTCTGTCCGCACCTACGTTGATAGCTGGTGCTGGCAAATTCTTTGTTCAGTTCAGTCACCAGAGGAGGTCCGCGGCGGAGCACGGGCATCTGCAGGGACTCGAGCGGTCGCCTCAGTTCTCCTACACCGCATGGGCAACGTGTGCCTGGCGGAAATACCACCCTACCACTGCTGCTGTGGGCATCCGCCGCCGCTGTCGTCCTATGTGAGTCCCTTCTCTGACGTGCTTGGAGTAATTCTGACTGTGCTTTCCTCTAGGAGGACTTTCGGAATAAAGTTGAAGATTACATTAAGCGCTATGCGAGATGATGAAGGGAGATGGATGGCAGGACCATGGCTTCCGCACTAGAGTTGTCCTTAACTTCAACAACAACAACGAAACCAGCCCGGATTGTACTAGTCCTGTGTCCATGTTGTACTGAAGAAGAAAACTAACTTCATAACTTGTCCATGTTAAAAGGAGAGTTCAGCATAAATACAGCAAGAAATTGTTTATGTTGGTTGAAAAAGTTGTTTGCTTACTTTTAAAAATGTTTACTCTTCTGAACTGTACTGTATATCCTGTTGATGAGATATGCTTGAGAAGTTAAAAGAAATCACTATGAAAATTGTAATTACACTTTTTTTTTAACTCTTGCTTAGTTTGGAGGGGGAAGGAAAAAAAAAAAAAAAACAACAAACAAACAAACAGAAAAGGTGGCGTGTTTTTGGAACACTTCAAGTTGGCAATAAAATGGTCTCCTGTGAACCAAATCACAATACTGTTGCCTTTGATGAGCAGAAACAATACAAGCTTTTTCCAAGAGTCATTCAGCTAAGGCTTGCCAGAATGCAAGTGCTAAATGAAAGTCTACGTCTGCTATTGAATTTCTTGATAATGTTTCATGTAAGCACGTTTCTGTCACACATTTGGAGTTTTTACACTATTATTTTCAGCTCCTGTTTGGGCTACAGTATTTTTTTGTTTCTATTTGTTGTGTGAAGTAGTTAAAAGAAATACAGGCTAACCCGTAACTTAAGTAAATATGTAGTATTAGTAAAACTACATATATATATATAAAATATATATATATATTATATATTTCTGTGAAAATTTAATGAAAGGGAGATTTTTTTTTTTTTTTAAGAAATCCGCCTTTGGCTTTCCAATCTGGATGTGGTGAGGAAGCGTCAGATGCTGTTCGATCTGATGAAGGTAAATTCAAGCACCGTTACCTGGAGAACACCTTAATTGTGTTCTTCAAACTTCTGCACTGAAAGGGAATGTCTAATGACACAGCTGAGCATAACACCGCACCGCACCCTCTTTTAAACACCCGTGCGCGCCCGGCTTTTTTGGTAATTTGCAAGGATATGATGCTGTAATTGCCTTTTCTGTAAGTAGCTTTATATCAAACACACGGTATGTGTAAGCAGAGATCCTGCAGAAGAGAGTAGTGTGTGCCTCAGGAATCACTTCGGAGTAAATGCCGTGCGGAGGCTGCTGCCTGCCGTGTGCCAGAGCTCCCCGCTGACCCCGGGCGGTGCCCGGGGCAGCCCAAATGCATTTCACTCGTGGGATCACGCAGAGGAGGTGCCGTGGAACTGATTCAAGCTTTTATAAATAGATAAATCATAGAAATAAATGTTCGTGTGGTTTCATACTGAGCAAGCGTATGTGTAGCGCTCGGGTGTTGACTGTTGGTTTTTTATCCCCCCCAAATGATTACGCTTTCATTCTTTCCTACTGCAGACACTGAGGGGAAGCAAAATCGTCTCCAGCTCTAGCGTGGCAGAGCTGGGTTGCAAATTTTAAGCGTGGTGCAGCCTTGCTAAGCTTTCCCTGTGCCTTTTCCCTTACAGCTTCACAAGCTCCCGTAGACCTTACTGGAGGTCTAGGAAAGCAGGGAAATGAAATGCAGGAGAGCCTTATCCTGAGCTTCATCCTCGGATAATATTGCCGCTGTGTCTAAAATGAAACACGGATCAGCATGTTATTTTAAGCAGGCAACTGCGGTGAGAGATCTTTGCTGCCAAAATAGTAATGTCAGGGAAGGTAAGGAATAAAAGACAAAAATAGAAAATGTTGGCAAATACATCCAGTTTTTGCTTGCTGAATCGGAAGGGTTTTAATTTTTGAGCAAAAAAATGCTGAACCAGTTTGCTGTAACCAAGACGAGTGCTCTTTGCTGTAGTGGCACCCTGGTACCGTTACCACCTTCCATCCTTCAGCAAAAAAGGTAAAATTCCCTGTTTTCTTGAGCAGTCACCCACGCCTCCCGATACAGTCGTGCTGCATAATCCCTTCACTGTGTTTCTGTTACCTAGAGGAGATGAGCAGAATATTGAAGTTTGGATACTATTAAATACTGTACAAGAAGGCCTGAGCATGGGTGTCTTTCCATCCAGAATACACAGGGCGGGGGAAAAATACTGCCCCTCATCCTACAAGAGTCCATCGGCTCACAGTCCAGAAAAATAAACTGAATTATTTTTTCCTGAACATGAGGAGCTGGGGTTTTTATATATATATATATATATATATACTTTTATTTTTTTGTAAATATTTATTTATGTGTATATTAGTGTAGATGCAACTAATCTATCTTCCAGCCACCCTCGATTTCCGCCTCCTGCCGAAGCACCAAGCTGGGGTGTCCCTGAGGTCACGGTTCACTGCACGTGGCCAAAATACTCCTACAGAAATCTCCTGGGGAGCTCTCCTCTGCGATGGCAGGAGCCAAACTAGCCTAAACATCCCCAAAGTGTCGCCTTCCCTTGCAGCCGGGCAGTGGATGGAGGCTCATCATCAAATAGCTGCAGGAATTGGCTTTTGCAACTTCTGTGCCAATTTTGCAACAACCTCCTGCTTTTTTCTTTTGGGTTTTTTAATATTATTCATTTATTTTTATCCTAGGCTCTTAACCATCTTCCAGAAAGCCTCCTGAAGCTCTTCCTGGCTGCAGGGACTGCAGTCTCGGCACTTCCCATCAAATAACGCTGACTTTTTTTTTTTCAATTAACTGTTCAACTGCTCCTGAAGAAAAGCCCTAAATAACAAATGGCAAAAAAAAACCCCAACACATGCAGCAGTGTCCTGGAAGAGGAGTCGTGCCCAGGCAGGCCGGGGTGGGCCAGGCAGATGGCTGGGCATCCCACAGCCCGGCACATGCAATTTTGGGGGTTTTTATTTTTATTTTTTTTTATTGGGAAACATAAGGGCCAGGGGGAACTGGGTCTCCCCAGCGGCCCCCTTCCTGAGCCAGCAAAGGCACTGAAGGGGCTCTAGAGCAGTCCTGAGACCACCAAGGTCTGGCTCACCACCCACCCCTGGGACCCCCAGTGCCACCCCAAAGGGTGCTCATGGGATGGGGCTCAACACTTTGGGGGGGGTCTCAAGGATCACGGAGGCTCCTTCAGGGCAGCGAGGAGTTGGGGGCCCATCTAGTCATACCCCAGCCTTCACAGAGGATTCGCACCAGGCACCTGATTTATTTACGTATTTATTTATTTAGGTAGGAAAAGCACCTTATTCCCATCCCTAGCCCCAGGGTGCTGCCAAGGCCACCACCAGTGCCACCAGCTCCCACTGCCGACTTTCACCCATTGCTCCCCATCCCCTAGACAAAACCTGCCCCGTGCAGGCCTTGTCCTCATGCTGGGGGCCAGGGGAGAAAATGCCTCTCGTGTGGGAAGAAAAAAAAGAAGCCGTGGTGGTCTTGTCGCCCAGGGTCGCACCCAGACCCACCGGCCTCATGGTTACGCTGTGATCCCACCCCCTTTATTTACTATTTATTTTTTGGAGGGGGGTGGTTTGGTTGCTTGGTTTATTTGTTCTTTAAAACTTTTCCTGTTTCGGCAGGTGATGCCGGGGCGTGCCAGGAGGGAAGCAGCTGGGGCAGGCTGAGCGCAGCCGTGGCGGTGCCGATGCCCAGTGCTCCCCAGTACCCCGAGAGAGCTCCCCGCAGCCCGTGACGGCCTCGCCGGCCACCGGCATCCCGTGTTGCCAAACAACCATGTCTTAAATGATGTATTTATTTGAAAACCGTCGGGCGAGCGACACGCGGGCGGTACAGAAGGTACCAGTGAAGGAGGAGGGGTTGTGGTGCTGTCTCTGCCGCCGCGCCTTGGTACCCCCTCAGCGATGCTCCTCTGCCAGGGTTTTCCCCCAAAACAGGCACGTTCCGGGGTGGGCTCCCTCCCGTCCCTCCCCCCTGTGCCGCTGGCGGGGCGTCCCTACACGATGCCCTCGCTGCGTTTGCTCCTCCACACCACCAGCGCGGTCATCAGCAGGGTGACGAGGACGGGCAGCAGGATGAAGGGGCAGAGGACGCCGTTGGGGGGGTCGTGCAGCGCCCGGCCCGAGGGGGAACAGTTCCTGAAGTACTGCTTGTGGACGGCCACGAAGAACTCGTCCACCAGCCGGTTGGGCCAGTAGCAGTCGAGCCTCTCGGCGATCAGCGCCGTGCAGTTCGTCAGCTCCCCGTAGGTGCTGCAACACAGAGAAAGGGCACCGGGGTGGCACCGGGGTGGCGGGGGACACTGGGGACCAGCACCCAAACACAGGCACGCCACCTCCCCCCGCCCCGTAGGATACAAAATACATACCTTCTATCATAGATGTGGGCGTCTGAGATTGGATTTGAGATGATTTGAGCTATTTGAATTTTTTAGGTATTTCTTGGGGATTGTCGACAGCTTGGTGCAGCAATCAATGGGTGGGGTTTTTTAATTCCCATCAAGTTTTTGCCACTTCGCTCGCACTTCTAAGTGCTCACCCCCAGCCAAAAGCACAAGGAGTTTTCGTTTACCTCTCTAAAAATACTAGTACGTATACTAGTAATACTAGAAATAATATTTACAGAAATAACAAGAAGCAAGGTTCTTTTTGTTTGGTTTCTGTTAATTTTTGCAGGATTTCACAGCCAGGCTGGTGCTATTAGAAAATACCACTTGGACCCATGGAACCAGCTGGCACCTTGAGGCAAAGACCTTCAGGAAGCCCACCCTGAGCCACAGAGCAGCTCGCCCGGCTGCCGGCCTTCAGGGCACCCTCCTTTAGCACATGTGGGTTCAGCCAAAAGGGGACGGAAGTAAGTACATCAAATCTACTTAAAATTCTCCTTTTAATTGCCCAAAAATGGGGGTGTTGCAGCTGAACCAGCAGCATGAATTTGAAGTTCATCTCTCTGCAGTACCCTGCTTTGCAGGGCTGCAGGACCACCACCCAGCCCACCTCTCAATGGCCAGCAAGTCTGGTTTTTGAGTTGGTTTTTTTTTGTTTGTTTGCTTTTTTTTTTCCCCAAATATTTGGAAAACGAGGAGCAGCCCCGAGCAAGAGGCACTGCAGAAGGAGGACGGCCCCTGTGCTGGTCCACCCTCTGGAAGGACAGGTATTACCATGAATTTCAAATCCCACCTGCTTTAAAATTGGCTCTGCGTAAAAAGATACACATATATAATTTTCTTTTTCCCCCATCTCAATTACTTATATCTAATCCTAGAGAAGCAGAGCTACCCAAATCCCGACTATTCAATTAAAAAACAGCCTGAGGGAAGAAATATTTTGTAAGCAGCTTTGCAGCAACCCGCTGCAGCGCCTCTGCACCCCGCCAGCTGGGTTTTTGGGCAGGCGGCGGTTCGCCGGAGCGGGCCCCCGCGGAGTCCGGTGATTTAATTAACGGAGCGCCTGGAGCTACGAACAGCAGCTTCTGTTCAGCATCCCAATGTGTAAAATTACCATTTCCCGTTCATCAGCATCCTTAGGAGATCTCGGGGGCTGAAGCAGCTTCAGGAACCAGAGGGAAAGAGTTAACAGAGAAGTGACTATCAGCTATTTTTAAAACTGAAGGGCTGTACAGCAGCTGGCTTAGCCCTTCCCCGTTTCAGGCCGCTCTTTCGTGCTGATAAATAGCCGCTCCCATCATTATACGTGAAGGCGTGCAAATAACCAAAGCAAAATGGGGTCAGCAAATGAAAGGATAAATTGTAATTACACTTTGCACTTGGGCAGCGGCCGTATTTCCGAGCTCGGGCAGCTCCATGCGCACCAGCGGGGCCTGAGGAGAGGAGCCGAGCGGCCACAGCCCCACCAGCCGCGTAGGGGGGCAAGGAGGTGGTCGTAGGGCTACAACCATCCGTCCAGGTGTGGAAGGAGGTCCTTCCATCTCGACGGGAGATCTGCAGCTGTGGCTTAAGATATCCCAAGTCCCTGTCCCTTTTGTTTTCATGTCCCCTGTCTTCGTTAAAGCCACCCTGCTCTGGGTGGGATCGCATCCTCGGCAGGAGCGGGGTGGCAGCACAGGCAGAGCTGCCTGTTGGCTCCACGCACACCCTCCCAAAGCCCAGTGAGAAGCGAGCAGGAGGGGCCTGGAGGGAAAAGAAAACGTTTTCAGCAACAGCTAGAAGGGTAGAGGTGACACCGCGGGCTGCTGACCTCTCAGCCAAGGGAAAGCAAGTCTGGCTGCTCTTCGCGAGATCATTTTCTTTGCTTACACAAAGCGCTACCTGGACCACGGCAGTTTTACGAACAGCCACCTAAAAGCAAAGCCAAACTCTGAACTGTAGCTACTTTAATTTCTTCATCTCATCCATAGCCTTGGCCATCCGTCCTCCTTGGCCGGTCCTGCGCTGCCGTGTCTCGCGGTGGTTGGAGAGCAGCTCCTGCAAGACGCCGTCCTTCTGTCCTGGCGCACCGAGACGCGTGGCACCAAGGACCTTTTCATCACCAGCTGCCAGAGAGGGACACCAAAGGGATCCATCTGCTGGGATATGGATAAACCAGACCCGGGCTGCTGCTTGCGATGCCTTGTCAGAAGGGATCAGGATCCCACTGGAGAGCAGCTGTGTTGGCGCCCGGGGCTGAGCGTGCTCGTCCCTATCCCGGCCGTGGTGAACGTTCGTCCCATTGCGTCTCCAAAGAGGCATCTGGTTCTCCCACTCCACAAGCAGAGCCACAGTATTACGCTGGCACCACACCAGCACAGTCCCACTGGCGAATTCAGCCTGTGCTGGTGGGGGTTGTTTTCCTGCCCAGCACGGCTGTGCTGCCCTCCCCTTGCCACCCACCTCCAACCCCAGTGCCCAGCCTGAGAAGCCAAGGTCCTTCAGCTGCACTCGGCCAGGCAAAGCCAGCTCAAGCTCCCGGAGCTGCAGAGATGATCACGTTATCGTTGGCATCCAGAAAGAGGTGTAACCCTCAGTCGCAGTGTTAAAAACGCTCTTTGGAGAGAAGGTAGAGTCAAACTTTTGGCTTTCAGATGATTTTTTTGGGGGGGAGGACCTCAGAGACCTGAATGGGACCGACTCCAAATCAGACCCAAGGTGGGGGTGGGCAGAGAAATACCCATGCCCTGCATCCTCACCTCCCTTGCTCCGCAGACCAGGGGCTGTCTGCCCTCTGAAAAGAGCTGAGCAGGGCCTTAGGGCCATTACTGAAGCAGGCTGGGGGGGGGGTGGGGGGGATGTGGGGGTGTGTTTAGCCACAGGGCAGATCCCTGGCCAGGCTTCCAACTCCATGGCTCAGTTTGGTTGGGGGAAATAAGGAGGTGGAGAAGCCACTGAGCCACAGACCTACACTATGACATGTCCAGGGGATCTAAGGATGATCATCCCCAACTTCCCAGGCTGCCTGGGAGCAAAAGGTAACCAAAGGAATGGGTGTTTTTACTGCTGTTTGCTATTCATAAGCCAGCACAGCCCAAAGCTATGCGCCATGTGCTGCTCATAACAGCCAAAAGCCAGGCTGGAAGACCTCATTGACAACGGGGGAGTTAGTTAAGATGGTATTTGGAATTAGAGGATGTGACAAAAGCCTTTCCACCAGGTGCCTCTGCCCCCCCCCCCCCCCCCCGTGGGAAGGTATGTGAAATCTCTCCTCACCTCTCGCAAGGACAGTCCAGTTTTATGTGCAGAAAAAATCCTGGTCAGAGCACTCAGGCTGGTCCTGCTTCCCCCAACCCTGAGGAGAGCGCGGCAACTTCCAGGACAAGAGTTCCCAAGTCACGCTCCCACTTCCCTGGGATATTTCCCAGTGCCAAAAAGCACCGGCAGCCCCGCGAGGGCTCCCCTGGGAATGGCAGCTCTCGGGGGGGGAGGGGGGGAGGGGAGCTCACCTGCGCTCTGAGACAGAGGGCTGGAGAGATGCTCGTGGCTGGCAGAGCGCTGAGCGTGGAGGGTGGCCTCGGTTAGCGTGTCCCCAGAGACCGCCAGACACGGCGGGGAGAGGAGACGCAGTCTGCACCTATTCCACAGCCCTCTTCTTCCACCCTTCCCCTCCCTTGGCTTTGCCTTAAATACCAATATCTTAATTTGAAATCCTTAAAAAATTCTTAAAAGACTAGCTGTAATTACTAAAAAAAAAAAAAAAAAAAATCTGCTTATTGAGCTGACATAGGCTAGCACGAGGAACAAGGCAGGTTTATCCCAAGCCATCCCACCACCACACGCTGCGGGCAGGGAGACGAGCGGCCTGTCCTGAAAAGTACAACTTTTCTTAGATCTCAGTATTTTTTTTCCCCCCTCCCCCACGTGGACTGCAATAAAACCTGTTTCCACATCGCCATGGAAACGGTTGGGGTTTAAAGGCTGCTGCAGCGGGAGGAGGCCGAGCAGCGCGGGGACCACGTGGGGACAAACACCCCTGAGCAGGACCGGGATGGGGCTGGGCTGCTGGTGGGAAGCAATCGAGGACTGATTTATGGTTTGACGGGACCCGAATGCTTATACCCCTGTAAATCCTGAGCAATGCCTCTGGTTTTTTACCACTGCAACCGAGACTGGAACTTGATCTGCCATTTATTCCTCACCAGCACCTGGGTGCGGATGGTGTTACGCTACAGATACTGGTTGGGGTTCACGGGATTGCCAGCGAGTATCATGATGTTTCCTATCTACCCCAAATCCCTTGCTTCAGAAGGAAAGAAAAATTACCACGAGTCTTTCTTTTTGCTTTGTACATTAAAAGAAAAAAATTGATTTCTTCCTCTACAAGGTTGCAGGGTGAGCTTGGAGACATGCTCAAGGGGTATCCCAGGAGGGACCTGGCAACCTGAAGATAAATAAGTAGATAATGAGACAATAAGAGAATGGATCAAGCTGTTTTCTGTAAGATAATGGATAAATAACCTGAAGACCCACTGTGAGCGTATTCAGAGCTGTGAGAGCAGCCCCGCAGCGGGGGTAGGAGCGGAGCAGGGTACTGGGAGCTGGCAGCATCATCCCTCATTCCTGGACTTGGCTGCAGCCATCAGACTGGCACGTTTTCCCCACAGGATGCCTGTGGTGAGGGGAAAGCATTCCCCGGAGATTTTTAGGCAGATCTATTTCGGATGAAGGCGCCCGGCTCAGCTGGAGTGGCACCTGCAGCTGCATCCCCCCCCGTCCTGCTTACTACCGCCTGGTGCACCAACGCCGTGCAAAAACCGCCGTGCAAAGCTATCCCCTGGCGAGCCAAAAACATGCAGGAAAAATATCCACAAGTCATCAGCTCCTGGTGATGCATTCGCGGGCGAGCAGCTGGCAGCCTGACCCCTCCAGCAGCCCCAGGCTCTGCCAGCAGTGCTCCGTGGCCCCAAAATAGCTGCCCCGAGGGAGACCACAGCTCATCCCCCAGCTCAATCGCCGCGCCGATGAATCTGGACCTGGAATCAAAATAGCCAAGTTGATCTTTGGGATAATTAGTCATGAACAGCTGAGCTCCTGGTCGGAGCAGCTCGGCCACCACCACGGAGCGGAGGAGCCGGTGACGCAGCTCCAACTAAACGATCGTCTGGCTTTTAAGGGACAGGGCGGCTGCGAGCCCTGGAAAACAAAACACCAGGGTGCTCGGGCAAAGCTGCTCGCAGGCCAGGGGCTCCACAGGACAACGGCACGGAGGGGCTGGAGAGACCAGCTCCACCGTCGTGTAGGCGAGCAGCCCCAGGGAGCTGACCCAGCAGGCACCGGCACGCACGGGAGCATCCGAGGCCGTGCCGGATCGCTCGTCCTTTGGGGAAGAAGACAGGGAAAAAACCCAGCTGACCCAAGGGAAAACACCTCCCAGAGCAGTCCCTCTGCCTCCGCAGGAAACGACGTTCGTAGCCAACTTCTGGAACTAATTATTAACAACCACCTGGCGCCCCATTCCTGAAGCGTCTAACAGCTCACACAAGTTGCCCTGGTACACGATTTTGCACATCAAAAACCAGCAACTCTCCCCAGATAAGCATGGCTAAGAAAGCCAGCAGAGCTCAACAGCATTGGACAAACCTTCCCAGAGCTGGTGCTTGTTCACATGGTGCAAGCCCAACCTCAGCAAACACCCCTGCTCCACAGAGACCCCTCTGTTACAGCTGCACGCAGCGGTACCAGCGATGCAAAAGCTCGGCGAATACCTCTGAGGGTAAAATGGGAGGATAATCCGCAGCCTATAAACAGGACCAGTAAACCACAATTACAAACTCTGCTGAGACAACTCATTTATCCAGATGTTCCCATCATGTCACTCTCAATTGAGCAGTAAATGATGGGCTTAACAGGCACTACCCCACTAAATGCCGCATACGAGAAATCACAGCTCCAAACCCAACGCTGCTGACGGCACCGGTCTTGTCAGAGGCAAAACCTTCCAACATTTCTCCTTCTCGTTTCAGACAGGTTTCAAGCATCAAAATTCCTTGGTTTGGGGGAAGATATGGAGAGGGAAGGGGTTGTATTTCTATTTCTTCATCTCATGCCTGGAGGAAGTCAAGACCTTCCCGCTAAAGTCGGAGAGGTGACCAGCCAGCCTGTGCCATCCCCCTGCCCAGTCCTGCTGGGACATCAAACAGTACTTTTTCTCCTAAAAGGGGATGGTGAGTCCCACGCACACCCAGGGAGCGGGGGTGTGGAGCGAGGTGGCCACCCGAAACCCATATCCTTGCAGAGCAGCTTATTTACAGCAGTAGCTGAGCTGTTTCTACCTGATTTTCCCAGTGTCCTGAGAACACAGGAGGACCAGAGGAATGTCATCTCTTAAATAACCTCAAGCCTTGTGTTCGCACGGGGAAGATGGGCTCATGCAATCAAATTAAATACTGCAAGTTTATCAACATTTCCTCCAAGTGCTTTAAGGCTAACAAGTTTAGTGGAAGCTATTTAGAAGAAAAACAGGGCGTCGGAGCTAACCAACGCGGTCTTTAATACACCTCTGCTTCCTGTGCCATGGTTTCACTGACGGTCTGGAGGAGGAGATGGATTGCACCTCATCAAGCCGGCAGACAGCTCCGAACCAGGGCCAAAAGCAATGCCCTGCCCCTGGGACACGCTCAGCCCCCACACAGGGACAGCCCCAGGGGTGGGAGCTCCCCCCCAGCACAGCTGGAAGACACCAGGGAGGTGGTTATCCCCTTCTCCTGCCACTCACCACATCTGGACCACATCTGGCTGCTGCCTCTATAGGTGTTGACAGAGAGGGACAGGTCCCACGGAAAGCCCTACGGCGGCCAGGGGCCGGAGCAACGGCAGCAGCCCTAGACATTTTTGAGGACTGGATGAGGTTTCTCAGAACCAGAAAACCTCTCGCAGTCTTTCCACTCTCTTTCCTTCCATTCCATTTTGTCACCAGTAAAGGGGAAGGAAAACCCAAGCTGGCCTTTTCAAAAGCTAGCTATATATATATATATATGCCTGTTTCCATACACAAATATATATGTAGATTTTTCATTTGGCACAGAAGAAAGGGGCGTGAAGCAGGAAATCAACCAAAATCTTACAAAACCCCTAATTTTTGTGCAGAGCACTCATACAGCAACATCTGCTCACCATTTCCAGCTGACCTCAATCCCCTCCTTGTGTCACAAGAGCTCATTTTTGTCTGCTGCTTCATTTTCCCAGAGAAAGGCCACAGCACAGCAATGCTGTACGATGCAGCGAGCCAGCTGGGAGTGAAAAGCAGGTTTTTATTTTCTCTTTTCAAGCCCTCATGCCAACACATGGACATCCCTGACTGGTCTTGGCAACTTCAGTCAAAACCATCTCATCACTAGAATGAGTTACGCCATGGCCGTACCGAAAAATTCAGCTCTGCTGATTGTAAGTAGAAAAGAGCTAATCCAAAGAAAGCACCATGCAGGTGGTTTGCAATTAAAAAAAAAAAAAAAAACAAAAAACCAAAAATTCCTTACAGAGCAGCATGTTCCCCATATGCAGCATCCCTGCTCTCCCTGATGCTGCCACATGAAGTAGGGTTCCCTTATCACCCTCATTATCCGCCCCCAAGGCAGCTGCCCAACGCTCCACCAAGAAAGCCGACCACATCTCTGCTTCTCCCAAGTCATGAATCACCGCTAATTCCCTGGCACTGATTACAACCAGGAGGCTTAGCAGAAGCCTGCCGCGCTGCGCCGTGTCAGCCTCTCCCCCTAGTTGCTAAGAAAAATCAACACACAACTTTTGGAAGCAGTGGGCGAGCCAGCGGGTCCAGTGGGACAGCCTGGGATTTTCTCAGAGAGAGGGTCTGAGGGCACCTCAGTGGGTTATGGGGTTTTCAAGCTGAGTTAGGGCATTTTGGACTGTCTGGAGAACCTGAATGCTGAGAAAAAAGAAAGATCTCATGGGAAAGATGTCCATCAAGCAGTAAGTCACCGGAAGAGGTAACGGCGCTGTGACAGGGATCCCAATCTCCTGCCTTATTAACACATTGATACCCAGAATGTAGCTGACAGCCATGGGCTTCTCCTGTTGAGACTCTGGGGTGTGTGGTTTCTTCATATCTACATAACCGTAGGGAGCAAGACCGCCATCCTGATTTCCAAACACTGCTTAGGTTGGGCTCCTTGAAAGCCCATTTATTTACAGAATGGCTGAGGTTGAAGAGGACTTCTGGAGGTCCACCTCACCCTGGCCAAATGCCCCTGCTTCAGCGGGGTCACCTAGAGCTGCTTGCTCATGACCACGTCCAGATGGCATTTGAATATCTCCAAGGATGGAGACTCCACAACCTCCCTGGGCAAGCTGTGCCAGTGCTCGGTCACCCTCGCAGCGAAAGAGTTTTTCCATACGTTCAGAGGGACCCTCCTGTGGTTCAGTTTGTGCCCAATCGCCTCCGGTCCTGTCACTGGGCTCCACTGAGAAAAGCCCGGCTCCATCTGCTTTGCACCCTCCCTGCAGATACCGAAACACACGAACGAGATCCACCGGAGCCTTCTCTTCTCCAGGCTGCCCAGCCCCAGCTCGCTCAGCCCGTCCTCACAGCAGACACTCTCCAGTCCCTTCCTCACCTTCGTGGTCCTTCACTGGACTCTCTCCGGTGAGTCCATGTCTCTCTTGCGCTGGGGAGCCCAGAACTGGCCCCAGCACTCCAGGAGCGGCCCCACCGGTGATGAGCAGAGGGGAAGGATCTCCTCCCTCGACCTGCTGGAAACCCTCCTCCTGACTCAGCCCCAGATACCGTTCACCTTCTTTGCTGCAGGGGCACGTTTCTGGCTCGTGTTCAACCTGACGCCCACCAGGACCCCCAGGGCCTTTTCTGCTGAGCTGCTTTCCAGCGAGACGGCCCCCAGCATGTACTGGTGCCTGGGGTTGTTCCTCCCCAGGTGCAGGACTTTGCACATCCCCTTGCTGAACTTCACGATGATCCTTTCAGCCCATTTCTCCAGCCAGTTGAGATCCCTCTGGATGGCAGCACGACCCTCTGGTGTGTCACCCACTCCTCCCACTTTGGTGTCATCTGCAAACTTGCTGAGGGTATGCTCTACCCAATTGTCCCGATCATTAATGAAGAAGTTAAGCAGGACTGGAGCCAGCACTGACCCCTGGGGTACGCCACTAGTTGCTGGCCTCCAACTAGGCTTTGTCCAATGATCACCACCCTCTGGGCCCAGCTGTTCAGCCACTTTTCAGCCCACCTCACTGTCTGCTCATTCAGCCCACACTTCACACCAGCTTATCTGTGAAGATCTTATGGGAGACCATGTCAGAAGCCTCTCTGAAGTCCAGGTAGACAACGTCCACCACTGTCCCCTCCAAGCCCACCTCGTGGCCCCTCCACAGGTGACCGGGATGAAGAAGCCCCTTTAGCTGGACCCAACAGGGATGGAGCCAGGGCAGCAGCACCAGCAAGGCAGAGTGAAATGGCACATTTGTTTCCCCCCTCCATGGAATAAAACCCACCGCTGACCACCTTACACCCCAAAATCAAAGACGGGTGCAGGCCATCCCGGGATGCCAGGAAGGTCGGGGTGAGCAGCGGGACCTCACTTACCCCACGGTCTCATCCCAGTCACACCAGAGCCGCTGCCCGATGCCCTCCATGCTGAGCTGGAACTGCTTCAGGCAGTAGTGCCGGATCATCCAGCCGTAGTCGGCCTCCTGGCACGCCGTCGCCGCGATGAAGTGATGGGCTGGAAGACAGGCGAGGGGCCGGCGGGGTTAGGCTCTGCCGTGGTGGGTCGTGACCCAGCGACAGCCCCTCCTCCCCACCGAGGGGTCGTCCCACCCCCAGCTTTTCACGCAGAGGGCATCTGCCAAAGCAAAGCTGGACATCAAAGCGACCAGCTGGAGCTCGAAGCAACCCCACTCTCAACCCACTTCTTCAAAACCTCCTTCTCAGGATTTTACTTCCCTCTTCCTATCCCTCTGACCCTGCGGCATCATCCTCCGTTACCCTCCCAAGTGCTTGATGCTAGATAAATCAATTATTCAAAATATGCCAGGTAAGTCATAAATAAGTAAGGACGCAGATTTATTCTCTGCTGATCACTTGACACATGTCTTTGGGCTTTAAATTCCCAGGTTTTCGGTTTATAAAAAGAGCAAGGGTGTGGGGGAAACTGGGAATTAACCCCACAGCTCCCAGCCAAGATCCCTGCTGCTGCCGAGCGAAGGACCCCTTAAAAATTATCTGCACGGTGCCACACTTGGAAACAACTGTCCATCTCTGATGGAGAGCAGGGACATGCGTGGTGAAATTCATCTCTGGCTGCACAGATTCACCTCTAGGTACGTGTCGCTGCTACACGGTGCCTTCTGCTTTGGGACCAGAGAGGGAAGTGGGTGCTGCGCGCTTCCCTACAAGTCTGTGCACAGTTAATGCAATGCCGCTAGCGAGTGGCAAGGGAAAAGGACAATAATGCTACAAAGGGAAGAGGGAGCAGGCTTGAAGGGAAGAAACCCTTCAGAGGAATGATATACTGAGCCTGGCTATAAATAATATCTTGCCTTTGGTCCCAAAGTGCCAGCTAGTGCCTTTGCAGCTCCTGGAGTACATTGCAGGCAGGCATCGCATACCAGCTCTATTTTTTGCTATGCGTGAATAACTCTGTGCAAAAGAGTGGGGCTTTATTTTTATTTCCATCTCATTTAAAAAAAAAAAAAAAAAAAAAACACAGATGTAGCTACTTATTTAATATGTGAAAGCCATGGGACATCCCAGCGGCTCTGGCCCAGAGGATGCCCTCCCTGAGAGGTCCCTCTGCAGCCCCCGAATCCTCAGAGCACTCAGGTACCAGTATCCCCTGGCAATGGGGGGGGGGAAGCTCAGGACCCACCGGGGGATTTGGGTGGTGAGGGGCTCCCAGACCCTTGGGTGAGGTTTCTGGATGGCCGGGGGCCCCCCACGCTGCCTCCCACCGCGGCAGCCGCTTTGCTCTGGCTTGTGATAAGACGTGAGTTATCAAGCCAAGGGAAAGGAGTCAAGGAGCGTTAAACCCTCAGCGTCGCAATAATAAAACCAAGATTATCATAATCCAAAGCTCTCTCCAACCGCTACCAGCCAGGGTCTCACCCTGCAGCACCTGCACAACACGACCTCAGCCAGAGATAAGCCCTGCTCTGAAATGGGAAGGTTTGGGATGCTGAAGCAAAGCGCCGAGTGAGGAGGAGGAGGGAAGGTGCAAGAATTTTACAGGAGAGCTGCACTGCAAATCTCAGTCCAGGCAGGCTCAAAGGTGGCTGGGAGGCTTTTCTCCCCTTTCCATCCCTTCAAATCTGGATGAATCGGGTGAACAAGTGACACGACTGAGCGAGCACCAGCATCCAAGGGAGGCTCAGGTGCCACCCCGAGGGGTCACCCCTCCGTGAAACCATGCACTGGGCTTCCAAGGACAAGCACCCTGCCAACATCACGCCCATCACGCGGCCGGACAAACGGCTCGCAGAGAAAATGCTGCAGGTGAAGGTGTTTGAGTGCGGCACAGGGGAGAGCTGCGCGAGGGGAGGAAGGAGAAAGCAGGGGAGGCGAAAAAAATGAAAAAGCAGCCTGATGAGCGGCTGAGGGGATTGAGGAGCAAAGGGAGGAAATGGAGCCAGGCAGAAATGAGACATGCAGAGCGCGGAGAGAAACTGAGGAAAACAAAGCTGCTTTAAGAACCTCAACAGCGATACAGCGCAAGAAGAAAGAGAAGCAGAAGTTAACGGAGCGTGGCCGGGCTGCCCTTCGCCTGGCTTCCCTCCTCCCTGCTCCCAATTAGCACGGATGAGCCTAGAGACAAGTCACCACTTGTACCACAAAAACAACTGTCCTTAGAGGTGCCCAAACATTTCCTGATGATCATGCAGCTGCTCCTGCAGAACGGACCTAGAGGAAAACGCTTTTAACAGGCAGCTCCACCTTGGGTGGGGAGAGGAGAAACACTAAATTAACCAAGGGGGTGAAGCAAATGAGAAGCGCAAACCAGCTGCAACACCTGATTGGGTATCTGCAAGCCACCTGTACCTGGTAGTCAGCATGAAAATGAACCCTGCTGTTAAAATAAAAATAAAAAAAAAAAAAAACCAACCCAAACCAAGTGAAAGCAAAAACGTGGGGAGCTTTAAGCACTTGCCAATCCAAAGCAGCTCAAAAGACCCTGCTGGGTTGGACGTGGCTGTGGGCTGAGTACAGGTGTGGGCGGCCAGGAGAGAGCCCGCGCACGGGCTCCGTCATCCCCGAGCGTGACTCGTATGCTCACACTTTGTTCCTGCCTCTTGTCTCAGCTCTGAAGGTCCTCTGCAGGCACGTCACCACCTGTCTTCTCCCCCCGCCCCGGCAGCTCTTTGCAGTGTTCTCCGAGAGCTTTGCCTTCCCCTCAAGGACTTGTCTTCTGCAGTGGTGAACCCCGGTGACCCCGAGACCGCCCTCCTGCAAGACATCTCTCCCACCGCATCTCCCATACCTACACATGGGGTCTGTCTGCAAATCCTTCTCCCCAGGGGACTGGGGAAACCTGGCCAATCAAGCCAATGACCGAGACAACTTCACGAGGACATTTGATTTTTAACATCGTGAAGGGCTCTTTTGTTTTATGCATCAGAGGCAAAGAGCATCCAAGAGGAGCAACGCTCAACAGAGCCCGTTGCATAAATGCTGCGAGGATGGAGCTGGGCACCGCGAGGCCGAAAAGCTCTTTTGTTTTCAGCTGACTGGGGAGAACTGGCTTTAGCTTTAAATGCACATTTTAAGGTCAAAGTGAGGAGAAGCTCCTGCCACACTGCTGCATGGCCCTCACCTAAACCCACCGATATTTCCCTGCTGCTTCCCCATTTCCCCCAAACCCACATCAGGCTGGGACGGGCTCAGGATTTGTAACAACAGGGGACAAAAGGCAGGGAGGGATTTTTGCATCTCCTGGCTCTCATTCCAGTAGGTTTTCCTTCCCCGCCCCAACCCTGCTGATGGAGGCGGCGTAAGTCAGCTGCAGCGAGCTGTAAATAACTGAGCTCCGGAGCGGTCACGTCTCTGTGCTTAGCAGCATCCATTTGTGAAGGCTATAAGCTGCTGAAGAAACGAGCTTCAAAACCCAACTATACCAAAGCTGAGCCGCCTCCGAGCGCTCCCTTCTCATGTGCCCCTGACACTCCCACTCCCTTGGGAAAAATGGCATTGGGAGCTGCAGGAACGCAGTGGGAACATCCCACCAGAGCCCTGCGGCACCTTCAAAATCCCACTTGGCCTTTAGGTGCTGCCTAGACCTGGAGCCGGGGGTTTCTCTCCGTCTTCCCACGTCTCCCCAGCCTGTGCCTCCACCCGGGTGACACCACCGCGAGCCGTCCAAAATTCATCCTCGCAGCACGCGTGCGCGCTGCCTTCTGCCTGCAAAGGTGTCCGCGCCTGGAAAGAGGCACCATCCGCCGTGGTGTCTGCCGACCTGTGCGGCGCTTGATGAACGCCCTTCCCTGCTGAGAGGAGCACTGATTGCCTGTTAAAAGACGTAACTTTAAGGATCCTTAATTTGCCTCCTCACTGGGAACATCCGGAGAGCGGCAGTGAGGAAGTGATTGGAGGGGAGGCTTTTTCAGGCATCCCAGATCCTCCTGATTGCCCCAGGATTGATGTCCCACAGAGTCCCAACAAACATCTACCAGCTTACCGAGAGCTAGCTGCAAAAAAAAACCAACTTGCTCATGCATTTCAGCAGAGAAACAGTGCTGGCCATGAATTGTTACAAAAATTTCAGCAGAATAACTGGACTTTCTTCCATTGCACTTCTCACAGCTGGAGTCTGGGCCAAGAGCTCCAGAAAACAACTTGGTGGACACCACACCACCTCCTCCTGCCACCGCCGCAGAGCCTGCACGCCTGCCATGGTGACGGTTCGCCAGCAGAAAGCCCTGAGCTTTCTCTGCAAGTTTTACATCTCACATCACCATCCCCTCTGCACGATTCTTTTGTCTCTGGCCACTTTCTCCTCAGTTTTCTGGGACTTCTTGGGCTCGTCTTGCTGGGACGTGCAGCAAACCTCAGGGGGAGGAGGAGGCAGGGAGGACTGCGGAGCCTGAGAACAGAGGAGCATTGCAGGCTGGCATGGCACAGGAGGTCAGAGCGGTGCCAGCGCTGCTGGACCCGGTTCCCAGGCATCACGCTGGAGCCTGTCGGCATTTTTTGGAAGCCCCGCCGCCCTGGCCCTCTGCCATTCGACCTCTGGGAGCTGCCTGTGATGTGTGTGCGCTGGGAATGGATGGAGACTTTGGGGCAGCGAGTCTCAAGTAAGGCAGTTTTCATTTTGGGGGAGAGCCCACCAAGGAGGACCCACGCGCTGCGTCCTTCCGGGCTTGCTGGGTTTCTTCAGATGCAGCCGGGGCAGCCCCAAAGCCATCATCCACGTGGCTCCGGCAGATGAAGGCTCCTCACCCAGCACCCACGCTGCAAGCCCTGTTTGTGGCCTCAGCCAAGAAGGAAGCCCTTGATGCAGGCTCGTATGTAGGATGGGAACTGGAGACACCCTCATTCGTGAACCCTTCCAGTGGCACCCACGGGGTGCTGTTGGAGGGGCTGCCAGACCCACCCAGCACGGCCGTAGCTCACTGCTATTCAGCAAACGGGGGAGCTTGACTCCCCCACGCCCACGACACCCCTTGATGGTGCCGGATGAACAATGAAACTATTTGACTACGTGTGCAGAACAGTCCTCACCAGCCCACCCTG